CAGACCTGAGGAGCCTCTGGAAGGAAGAGTTCTGGCAAAACCCCTTGGACCAGGGGGTCCTGGCTGTGGTCAGCATATCCCTCCTCACCTTCCTGCTTCTCATGCTGTTCGCCATTGTGTTTGGGGCACTCCCTCCGTCTGAGAAGGTCGACCAGTCTGAAGAGTCATGACCTGACTTTCGGGGGGGCCAGGGGGCCACCTGTTCTACACTCTCCAAACACTGTGGGCCTTTCCCGCGAAGCCCCTTTAACAGTCTGGATCATACCTTTTATGTGATTCTCTGATAAGCGTCTGTCTTTCTTACTGAGCCGAGCCCCATGAAAGCAGGCCCCTCTGTGCTCACCACTGTGTCCCGCACGGCTCCCCAGAGCCCAGTTCAATCTAGGCCTAAACACAGCGAGGCCTGGAGGCCGGAGGTCGCTTCAAACCTCATTACCACTCCTCCTGACACCAGTAGGTGAAGAGCCGCAGCTCAGAGGGAGCAGAGGGTCGAGGAGGGTTCTAGACTGAAGGGCTAACAAGTGCAAGGTGTCCCAGCTTGTCCAAGTCCCCCCGATGTCCCGCCCACAGTGCTCACAGCTGCTGTGCTCGGAACCCGCCCGCCGCCGCCTGCCTGTCACTGCAGCTCCCAGGCTCCTCCCGGCCCCACGGGCAGCAGATGCAGATAAAATCGTAAGTGAGTTCCAAGAGGGCAGGCTGGCCCGATGCGAGAAAAGCTGGTTTCTCTCCATGCCCGTCACGCACGCCCGCCGGGAGATAAGCCCGCCGCCCATGCCCGTTCGGGTCCAGGCTAAGGGTGCTCCTCCAGGGAAGCCAGAGCCTGCTCAGGGCATGTGATGACCACAACCCAACGGCTCAGGCCTGAGTTGCTCACGGGGCCACCCATTCCCGACGGGGATAAAGCAGGGTGGATGGACGACTACCCAAAATATTCACGCTGTCAGTATCTGGGGCCTTCCACGAAAGAAAGGGGCCCGACTCCCAGGCTGCCTGGCCGGACACACCCACGCAGGCAGGGTCCCCTGGTGGCCTGAGAGTGGCCCCGCGTTAGCTGGTTAACGAGCGGGTGCGGGGCGAGGACAAGATCTGTCACATTTTGTTCAGAAACACGCGCATAAGTCACTCACCCCAGTTCTTCACAGAAGGTCACCAAGGCCTCAAAGGCCTGGAGGGCGGCTTTATCAGATGCTTTGTTCCCCCTCTTTTCCTGGAGACAAGAAACGACCATTGGTCCCGGTGGTCACCAGAGGGGAAGGGGGTGGGGGAGGCAGGAGAGGGGAAAGGGGGGGATAAATGGAGGAAGACGCAACTTGGGGTGGTGAACACACAACACAATGTGCAGATGATTATTACAGAACTGTACGCCTGAAACCTATATAATTTTATCAACAAATGTCACCCCAATAAATTCAGTAAAAAAAAAGGCAACGACCATTTAGCAAAAGTCTTACAGAGGTGAACTATCTTGTAGCTCAAAAAATGCTGAGAAAAATATCAAATGAGAGTAAGAAAGCCACTTACAAAACAGTGTCCCCAAGCCTGACCGCGCATGAGCACTACCTGGGTAACTAAGAGGGACACGCGTGTTAGAGCCGTTAACACACGTGCCAAATCTTTCACTTAAATTTGCATTTATGTGATCGCTGATGAGTGAACATCTCTGGGTGAGCTTTTCTCACGTCCTTTGTTCAGTGCCAGTGGGTGAAGCTCTCTATTCTCAGCTCCAGCCTTTTGTTTGCCTTCCACATTCTATATTTTTCCAGATCTACTATTTAGTTTATGGTCATTTTCATTCCTAGGTACTTATGCTAATGCAGAGGAAAGCTGCTGCTTTTTAAAAAAATATATTTTATTGATGTTTTACAGAGAGGAAGGGAGAGGGATAGTTAGAAACATCGATGAGAGAGAAACATCGATCAGCTGCCTCCTGCACACCTCCTACTGGGGATGTGCCCGCAACCAAGGTACATGCCCTTGACCAAAATCGAACCCGGGACCCTTTAGTCCGCAGGCCGACACTATCCACTGAGCCAAACTGGTTAGGGCAAAAGCTGCTGCTTTTAAAAATATGTAAAATATTCTTACATTCATCCGTCTTGCCAGGTTTTTTTCCCCCTCTTTTTAAAATTGATTTCGGAGAGGGAGAGAGAGAAACATCAATGTTGAGAGAGAATCATTGATCGGCTGCCTCCTGCACGACCCTACTGGGGTTTCCCACAAACTGGGCATGTGTCCTTGACTGGAATCGAACCTGGGACACTTCAGTCCGCAGGCCGACGTTCTATCCACCAAGCCAAACCAGCTAGGGCTTGCCAGGTTTCCTTATAAATGGGCAGACATGCATTGACATTTCTACCTCCTGGTGTCTTCTTTCCTGTTCTCCTTGTCCCTGCAAGTGTGTGTGTGTGTGTGTGTGTGTGTGTGTGTAGTCATTATGTTGTCATTTTAGTGGGAACTGGAAATAAGCACTTATATTTCATCTTTCTTTAGGAAAAGTCTACATGTATTCTTCTGCAACTTCACACATTATGTTTTATCCATGATTCATGTAGATTTACTGGGTCATTTTTCTCTGTTCTAGATTATTCCGCTGTGACTAACCCACTGTTTTCTTATCCAACACTCTACAGAGGAAGAGTCTGATTGACTATTAGGTGCTGCAGCCAACACCCCTGTACATCCCTGTACACGTGACCGGTTGTCTATGCAGGCGTGGCGTTACCGAGTCACAGAGCGCCAGCATCCTCCACTTACGTGTCATCACCTCCTCTCTCTCCAGAGCAGTCACAGAGTTTACGTTCCTGACACACTGTGAGGTACCCTTTCCCACATCCCCACAAAGGGGGCTTACATTTCGGCCTCCCAGGCTTACAGTCTGGTGGGCGTAAAACAGCTCATCGTCTGGTCTGCGTTTCTCCCATCCCCACGTGACGGTGAGCATCTCTTCACATGCTCACTGGAGTCCGGTTTCCTCCCTGTGACATTCAGGGAGGAAACTTCTCGCTCTCAGCTGTTGCCTTTCACTCACCTGTCAGAGTTCCCTACATGCTCAGTCACTTATGTATGTTGCAAATATTTCCCTAATGGCTCCTTTATCACTGTGTTTATGGTGTCTCTCGCTATATAGAAATTTTTAGTTTGAATTTAGTCAAATAAGAGTATCTTCCTTGCCCTAACCGGTTTGGCTTAGTGGAGAGAGCGTCAGCCTGTGGACTCAAGGGTCCCAGGTTCGATTCCGGTCAAGGGCATGTACCTTGGTTGCGGGCACATCCCCAGTAGGGGGTGTGCAGGAGGCAGCTGATCGATGTTTCTAACTCTCTATCCCTCTCCCTACCTCTCTGCAAAAAGTCAATAAAATGTATTGTTTTTTTTAAAAAAAGAGTATCTTCCTTGATGGTTTCTGCTTTTAAAATCTTGACTTCCTTCCCTTCCTCAAGGCCATAAAGTATTTCTCCCCATTCTTACAGTTTTTTGAGGTCTTTAATCCATTGGTAATTCATATGTGCACGGTATGGGAGGTAGGAATTTAATTTTATCTTTTTTCAGCACCAATTATTCAACAGTTCATCCTTTTTCTATTGATTTACAATGCTACCTGTCTTACACCAATTTTCCTTATCCAACAAGGAAATTATATACATGGTCTCTTTCTAGGCTCTGTACAAAGAATGTACGATCAGTTTTTTTTCAAAGACTAAAAAGAAAAACAAAGAACTTATGTAGCAATATGAGAAAATGCTTATGTAACAATGTTGAGGAAAACAAGGCAGGACTGATCCTGAGTATGTAAAGCAACATGCACAGTACTAAGATAAATTAGCATAAAGAAGACTAGCCCTGGCTGGTACGGCTCAGTTGGTTGGGCGTTGTCTTATGCACTGAAAGGTTGCCAATTCAATTTCCTGTCGGGGCACACGCGTGGGTTGTGGGCTTGGTCCCTGGCAGGGGGCATGCAGGAGGCAGATGGTTGATGTTTTGCTCTCACGCGGATGTTTCTCTCTCCCGCCCTCTCTAAAAATCAATTTAAAAATCTTAAGAAGAACAAAAGTCTAACTTAGCTTGTTGCAATGCCCATCGACCAACATGCAATTCCCCCTTGCTATACGGTCTAGCCCAGGAGCAGCCCTCTAGCTTACAGAATCTCCATCTGAGTTCAGATATAAGCTGCGCGAAATCGGAAAGTTGTGAGTTTGGACAGAAAGGGCTCCTACTGCCTGGGACTTACCTGGAGTTTCGCTACTTCCTTCCTGATCAGGAAGCTGACTTGGTCCCGGTCGCTCCTGGAGTAATAGAGGCGGCACCAGGAAGGCTTCCCGTCCCTGCCCGCCCGGCCAGACTCCTGGTAGTACCCGGCCATGGACTTGGCAATGTTCCAGTGGGCGACGAACCTGTGGACCCAAAGGGGCAAGCAGCATGAGGCGTGGCAGGAGACCTGAGGGGAGGAGCGATTCTGAGCAGGTGGAGCCGGGCTCTCCACAGGGAGCAGGGCTGGGTGGGCGCACAGGCAGCGAGGACCCCAGGGCGAAGTATGGACAGGACACCTGCAGTCCATCGGCAGGCCTCCCTGCGCCGGAGCAGCACAGGTCAGAGCCATAGCAGGAAAGGGGCCATTCCAACCCACTTGAGGAACAAAAATGTTCAGTCAGCGGTCCCGTGGGGAAAAACATACTGGGCTTAAACAACCAAATCAGATCAGGCCACTAATGGGCCCCATGGCCTTGAAAAAGCCCGAGTGAATCTCTCTGGAGAGGGAAGGGATACCATTAGTACCTACTAGGAACCTGTATGTATTTGTCTCATTGAATTGTTACAGGCACCATCATGGGAGGCAGCCCCATTTCAGAGACAACGAGCCTGAGATGCAGAGGTGAACTGTACAAAGTGACACAGCAAGGGGACAGCAGAGCTGGGATCTGAGCCTGGGGGTGCCTGACTTCAAAGTTGGCCCCTAACAAGACACAGCCAACCCAGCATCCAAGCTCTGGTTCCCAGGTCTGGCTCCGAAGAAGACTGGACTTTGGGTGGTGAACACAATACAGCAGACAGGTGATGTATTGTAGAGCTGCACACTTGAAATTGTATATAAGCTTATTTACTGATGTCACTCCGGTAATATCAATAAAAATCTAAAACATAAAAAAATAAAGTCCGTGTCCTCTCAAATGCAGTGCACAGACTAATTCCTACCCTGACCAACTCAGCGTCGCTGTCGTCTCAACAAGACCGTGTATGCAGAAGAGCTCCGTACACCATGCACAGCGTTAGCGCTGCTGTTATTCAGAACCAGTGCGTCCGTCTGTAGCCCAAATGTGTCCCCAAGGTCAGACTCCCAACCGCCACCAGCGGAGCCTGGGAGGCCGGCTGTACTCGTCTCTGGCCGGTCAGCCGGCAGTAACAGGCAGTGACGGGAACAAGCGCTTGCCTCTGACTTCCGCAGGGAGCAGGTTAAGATGGTTCATTCCCCCTCACTGGGCCCATCCGCTAAGACGTGAGTGAGCGGCGCTGTGTTAATGAGTGAGCCTGGTGGTGCCAACACTGGGAGCAGCTGCACAGACACTGTCAGAGTGTGGCCTGTGTACCAGGGACCCTCCCCTGCGGCCGCCTTCCCCCTGGCGCTAGAAGGAACCCAGGGACCTGGTCCTCCTGGCAGCCCACCCCGAGCCAGGCCCTGATCAGGAAGGTAAGACAAGAACCAGAGCTCACCTGACGTTGGCTTTGTCCACTCCCATCCCAAAACTGATGGTGGCAACAATGACGGGGACCTTCTCCTCCATCCACTCGTTCTGCACCAGCGTCCTTTCAGAGGCCTTCAGCCCTAAAAAGGGGGGAAGCTGGAGGAGGGAGCTCGCATTTTCCTCAGGGTCCATCTTGGGTTTGACACTCTGTCGGGCACTGCACACACACCCTGAATCCATTACTTGCCTGCTGTGTGACCACAGGCCAGGCACTTGGCCTCTCTGAGCCTGAGCTAATAAATATAAAGGCCCCAGCCTGTGTTCTCAATGAATGTTAGAGCCAAGATTCAAACCCAAGTCCCTTTCTCTCGCCCTGTGCCTCCGAAGCCTGTGCCCTTCCCACACGACCGGCAGCTGGGCACAGGGCGAGAAAGCATGCTGGCGTCACAGTCTCATTTTGGACCTCATTCTTGGCTATACTCCTTCTTGTGGCTTTAAGTGAACCGCTTTAGCTCCGCCTGGGCAGCTAGAAAAGATGTCAGACCGCCTGGTTTTTCAGGATCCACAGGACAAGAGACGCGCCAAGAGGCCTGAGCGAGCGGCGAGGACCACGTGGCCCGGCGGCCCTCACCTGCGTGGTAGGCCTTGGCACTCAACCCCCTGTAACCGAGCTCTATGGCCAGCTGTTCACAAGCTTCCCTGGTCCTGCAGTAGATGATGCCGCAGCCGGACAGCACCTGAAGGCGAAGACAGGACAGCGGGAAGGAAATCAGCGCTGGGAGAAACGAGCCAACGAGCCATCCGCCCGTCGCCCTGTGGCCTCTGTAACAGGAGCTCTGCACGGTGTCTCATCAGCCTCACCGTCCCCCTGGCAGGCCACCAGCAGGGCTCTGCCACCCACACAGGCTCAGCCCGCCCGGGGCCCGGCCAACCAAGCCCCTCTGCCTCCTCCCCTCCAACCCTGACTAGGCCTGCAAAGGCCACCGTCAGAGCATTTCCGGACAAGGAGACCCGTGAGGGGACAACGCCGGGAAGCCAAAGAGACAAGCCTCTGTGCTTTAAGCAGCTACAGCTAGTCTGTGCTAAGGAAGCCAGGAAAAGCAAAGGTCTTAGAAAACCAATCCCCGGCTCAGGGCCCTCACCCCTTTCCCAGCCTTCTGGCCAAGCGCCTTAAGGCAGAAGTCCCTCAGGTTCCCGTAGGGATCAGAAAGCAGCTCCTTGAACTGCACGTCGTAGAAGAGATTGGCCCGGAAGCAGGGGGTCTTGAAGGCAGCGACCGGCTGCTTGAGGTGCAGGGCAGCAAACACGTCCTCACGGACCTGCGGGGTGGCCGTGGCGGTCAGAGCCACACACGGGGCATGCGCCAGGCGGGAGCGCAGGGCACCCAGGCGCAGGTAGTCGGGACGGAAGTCGTGTCCCCACTGGGAAACACAATGAGCTTCATCCACCACCAGGTAGGAGAGCAGGTGGCGGGACACCAGGGAGTTCAGGGTGGGCTGGAAGGAGGCGGAGGCCGCCATCTCCGGCGTGATGTACAGGAGCTTGGTCCGGGGCTTCTCCTGCTCCAGGTCGGAGAGCAGCTCCTTTTTCTCCTGCGCCGGGAGCTTCGAGTTCAGGGACCTCACTTGCACCTTCAGGGCCAGCAAGTGGTCCACTTGGTCCTGAGGGCAGAAGGGGAGAAGCACGGAGGGGAGTGGACGGCCCTCAGCACCTCAGGCGTGTTTCCCAGCCATAAAACGTCCTCCTCCCACCCTCCAATGTGTCTTTTCTTTGCCTACAAGGACTGAAGGCGGCGTGGTTGAGAGGACAGGCTCTGGGGCCAGAAAGACCTGGATTTTTTTTAAAAATCTATTTTTATTGATTTTAGAGAAGGGAGACAGACGGAAACATCAACAATGAGAGAGAATCACTGACTGCCTGCCTCCTGCACGCTCCCTACTAGGGACAAGTCCACAACCTGGGCAGGTGCCCTGACTGGGAATCAGCTGTGACCTCCTGGTTCATAGGGCAACTCTCAACCACTGAGCCACACTGGCTGGGCAGGCACATCTGGATTTAATCCCGGCTCACTTGCCTGCCATATGCTCTTGGGCTGGTTCTTAACCTTAGCCTGTCCATTTTCTCACTCTCCTTCTCTCTCTCTCCTATAAATACAGTGACACCTAGTAGGATTGTTGTGAGAATGAAATCGTACATCTCAAAGGTGTAGTGAATGCACATGACGCAACAGCACAAAGCCCTGGCAATCACTCATTTAGCACTCTCATCATTCTTCCCTGTCTCTCTCTTTCTTCACAGTTGATAGCTTTTAACTACATGGCTACACTTCCTCATTTCTGATTCTAGCAGCCCATCTGCAGGCCTTAAATATAGTCAGAAGCGCAGAGCAGGTGTTAACAACATCCCAATCGGCCTCTCATCGCTTTTTCTAGCATAGGTGCGCCCTTGCCAGAATAAAGCAGGACATCAGGATCCCCCCATCAATTCAGCACTCTAGCCATCTGCGTGAGTGTGCATGAGACAGTTCCGTATTCGTCTGGACAAAAAGTAACATAGGAAGGTAAGCGGTCACACAGTACTGTGCTCTAGTGGAGAAGCCCACGTACCGGCAATTCGGAAACCCAATACAGAGAAGGGGATAAGCAAATGAAAGAATGTAAGAGTAAGAGGCAAAAGACCAAAGAAAGCAGAAGTGAAATTTCCAACTATAAACAACCTTCCCCTAACCGTTTTGGGCCAGTATCTTCATTTCCCTAAGCCTCACCTGAATCAATGCAATGAGGGGAGAGATGACGATGGTGATGCCTTTGGCCAGCAGAGCAGGGAGCTGATAGCAGAGGGATTTTCCTGCCCCTGTGGGCATGCACACGAAAACATCCTTGTCACCTGAAAAAATACAAGACAGCATCTCAGTGCTTTCTGCCTTTTATCTTTCCTTCATCAAAGCTGTTGAAAATTAAATGAGAATGTAGGAAAAAGCCCTAGCAGAGTATCTGGTACATGCGGGAGCTGGGGGGGGGTGGTGTTTGTGTCAATATATTCTTAAATCCCTTCCCATCCTTTCTATGAAAAGGGGTACAGGGACATTTGGGAAAGCACACAAACCATTTCTGATCATGGCAATAGCAACTACAACGTCAAGAAGTCTGAGTCTGCTGGGATATAGAAGATTGAACTAAGTAGCCATGAAAGAAGACACTGCCACATGACTGCGCCTATCTGCGTAGACGTGGAAGCAACATCATTTAGATGTCTTGTTTATAAACATTACAGTGAAGTTAACTTTCCACAGCTGCTCCCCCTTGGCAACCTCCATTTGTCAACAAATCTCAAGTTTATAATATGAATCCTTCCTTCCCTAGTTGGGTCCCAGGCCACTCAATCTTTAACGAAGGGATTACCTAGGTCAGCGGCTGGCTGAGGCCTTTCCTGCCACTCCCACACAAACTAATGGGCATCTATGACCTGTTTTCAAAGATAGTCTGCAGCTCTGGCTATGAAATTAAGAAACGAAACAGTTGGGTGGTTCTGCCCATAAAACTGCAAGTTTGGCGTCTCTCAGATTTCCAAAGCCAATCATGGACCAAGGCTGGGGAGGTAGGAAGGGTCAGAAGGAGGGTGTTCCCGGCAGTGCTCGGGTATAGCCCGGGTAAATGTAAACACAGGTAGCGCGGCCTCGTTACCTTTCACTACAGCCATGGTCGCACTCTCCTGCAAAGGTGTCTTAAAAGAGTCAAACCCGAAGACCTTCTTCAATGTGCTCCGGACTCGACGCTCAGGGTCAAAAGGAGAGGCACGGTGGGTGCTCATCTTAGCGACAGACAGTAGCCAAAGGTTAAGGCAAAGGTGATGATCACAGGCTTGTGACAGAAACCCTGGTCTGCTTTTAAAATACTGCTTATTTTCCTCTTTAGTGTACTAGTAAATGTGCTTGATTACACGACTCAAGCAATATATTATTTTCAAGTCATACATCAATACATTCCTGGGTAATTAACATCTCCCCTTTCACATCAGTGAAAATAAAAACACGGAACTACCCCGGGCCACCGTATGCACAGAGGAGCTAGAAATCAGACACAAATGTCTTCGGAATCGCTTGGAGAAGATGGGATTGTTTGGCTAAGATCCACCTTCTGCTCCTTCTATAAGCATATCCAAGGCGCCCATTCTTTCCCCCGCAGACCCGATCCCTTCTTCCCAACTCCCCGGGTGAGAGCTCCTCCCCTTTCCTTCTCTGAGCCCCCGTTCGCTTCACCCCAAGATATCAGAGCTGGCCGTGGGCCGCCCGGGAGCGGAGGGCTCTAGTTCGGGGGCGGCCGGCGCCTGCAGGCTCGGGAACTACTCCCAGACCCCCATCGCCACCGCCAACTCGGAGAAGCCGAACGGCTGGACTACCACTGTCGGGTGAAACCCCGGCAACCTGGTTTCCGTCGCGCGGTAATGACGTTCCGCGAGCGCTGCGTGGGGGGCGGAGCCAGTCGCAGAAACAGCCGTCTTGATTGGTTTCCGGTTTGGAGCGGGCGCGGGGCCTTCTGGGACCCGGAAAATGTCGCCTTTCGGTGCGGAAGTCGGCTCGCCGGAGTCAGCGCGGTGAGACACCCCGCGGCTG